AAATAAGTATAGGCATTTACCATTTCTTTTTAAATGAAAATAGAAAGGCTTTTGCATTTTTTAAATTCTATAGCATTTAATATAGTTACATATCAAAGATATTACATCCTTTCTGGTACATTATACAAGTGTCTCCCTCATTTGGTCACTTACCTTTACTTTATTAAACTTTATACCATGCAAAAGTTTTCTATTTTTGTATATTCAAATTTATCTATTTTCTCAGGAATATTTTCTACGTTTTGTCTAACACAAGTGGCTGTATTCATTCTTTCTAGTCATCTGCACTACACTGAAAAGAATTTCTAGTTTCCATCTTTTGGGGTCATTTGTTTATCCTCCTTCGTTTCAGATTATCCTGAGCGATCTCGTGGATGTCTCAGGAAGGCTTGGGACTTATTCTGCGGTTTGCAGAAGACAGGACCCAAGCTGACCGAGGAGGAGGAGCAAGCCCTGAGGCAGAAGCTGACTGACACGTCTGAGAGGCCCCTGTGGAAGACCATAGTGGACGCCAACGCCATCCTCCTCCTGGCCGTAGTAGTCTTTGCTTATAGCTATTTTGCCTGAACTCTGTCTGAACCACGAGAATAATTAGTAATTATTAATAATGAAGCAAAGCATAATTTTATTAATTTTCATTTTATAGCTTATTTTGCAAAGGGAAGAGGAGAAGTTGGTAATTTTATCTAGTGAAATGACTCAAGGACTTTATATTTTACTTTTTTCATTCCTTCGTGTAGTTAAGAAAAAGAAAGTTGATAATTTATAAAACTATGAAGCGATCCTATATGTGTGTAAACTGAGTCTAAATAGTTTTTCCAGCTTTACTGAGGTATAATTAGCAAATAGAAATTGTACGTATGCAAGGCAAACAATGAATTAATTTGATACATCTATACATTGTGAAATGCCTGCAATCCAGTCATTTAACACACCCATAGCCTCCTATAGTTTACTTTTTTTGTGTGTGCAATGAGAACAATTAAGATCTACTCTCAGCAAATTTCAAGTACACAGTGCAGAATTATTAATTATAGTCACCATGCCGTAAGTTAATTAGACAGTGAGAACATACTGTTCTTCTGCCTGGAAGTCTGTACCCTTTACCCAACATCTCCTTGCTGTCCCCACCGCTCAGCCCCTGATGACCACCGTCTACTCTCTGCTTCAATGAGCTCAACTTTTCGTTATAGCATTATGCACAATAGCCAAGAACAACCTAAGTGGAAACAACCTAAGTGTCCTGCCGTGGATGAATGATAAATAAAATGTGGTATATGCATACAATGGGATATTATTCTGCCAAAAATAAAGAAGGAAACCCTGCTATTTGCAATAACATGGATGAAGTTGGAGGACATCATGCTAAGTGAAATAAACCGCACACAGAAAGACAAATACTGTAGGATCCACTCCTATGTGGAAACTTTTTGTTTTAAGTAGCTGATCAGGCAGAATGCCCTACATCATACTGGTTTTCTGCAGTTTCCAAAAATTTCCATTTCAAAGGAATACTTCCCCCAACTTTGCCTCACCTAGCCACCTCCTCATTTAAACAACAGTGACTTCCTCCAAGTGACTTTCACCTCAGAAATCTCAATGATTTGGAAAAGAAAAATATTTCCTAATAGTTGAGGAGAAGAGTGAGCTAGATATATCTCATAAATATGTTTTTAATATGCTAGAAATTATTAGCTTTTGTCTTAAAGCCATCCCCCACTAATCGCTACATCAAACCATTGATATTTTAAGCAGTTTTATTAAAATATAATCCACATAC